CTTCATATATTTATAAGTCTTACCAACTCGGATTTTCCTGCTTTTTAGACTGTACAGGACATGTGCCACAGCTGGACAAGCTGCTGCAATTACAGGGTCCTTGGCTTGCTCTATTACTACAAATTATTCACAGTTGAGTAACACCAGTTTAACCGCGCCGAGCATACTGCAAAATAACCGACGACTGCCAGTCATACTACTGTTGAACTCAGTATACAGTATATACTGCATACTGATTTAGATAGTAGCATGTAGTACGCGGTTTCGAAAACAGCCATTGAGTGCAACATTTCTGAACAAAATCATTACCAACCAGTTGACACAAAGGCTTTCTTGGTGTCATGATAAATTAGATTTTCCCCCTCAAACTGAAAACATTAGTCCAATTTTTAAAAATGGTTACGCTCTTACTCACCATGAACTGTAAAGGTGCAAGGTCCACCACCTCTTCAAATGGAAATTCAAAAACCCCAAGGCTCAGATCCTGAAACAGAGTAGACAATCATAAGTATAGTCCTTCTCATGGGCAATGACAAAAAGAGTTGGGTTTTTAGGAGTCCAAAGAAATGTTTCCTAGATAACACATGCTCACATTTTAAAATGCATAGGTATAGTGACAAAGGCCCTTCACTGCGTTTATTTGGGGATCAAACATTATAGCTTAATTTGGTTATTTTATTTCTCTATATTTCGTATTCTTCAGATGATGTCACAATGTTCAAAGAAACTTTCCTTGGAGACATCAATAATTAATTCAATTCATCTAAATTTCAGTAAAACAAACTTCAGCCTTGTGATAAAGAAATGTGGTTTCTGCTTGATATGGAAATAAAAATGAATTCCCATTATTCTGACAGTTATTAAAGATTCCATATGATTGATGGTAAGTGGAAATAATCATGATTTGTAAAATGTTATTCACCAACAACACTTGTTTTTCTGAAATCTGGAGAATAAATCCAACATTAAACTTCTGTTTCGTCACACATTACAATTCATCAAAAAAAAAAAAAAAAATGCAGTTCTGGTAAGTATGATACTGACTGTGTGAAACCCCATCAGGAAGAACCAAACACACTTTGTTTTTCTGGTGGGTTCAGGTTCACCATAATCGGCAGAAATGATTGGGAGAACAAGCAGTCGCTATGCCCTGCGTTCTTGTACTACATGTTCTTGTCTATCTGTTCCTCGGGTAAGGACTGAATCAGGAAAAAGAGCTTTCAGCTTTGCTGCCCCCTCGGCATGAAATACTCTACAGACTGAATTAAAACTCCCTGAACGTATTCCACTTGGAGCTTTCCGTTCTATCATGAGGGACAGACAGAGAGAGACCATTGAACAGTGTCTGTGTTTTTTAAATCTTAAATTGTTGTTTTATTGTTGTGTCACAGCTCCCTCACTTTCTTTTTTATTGAAAACACTTTGTTGTTAATCTGTACTGTCACTTCATTGTAACTGTTCTTATGACATGTGCTGCTGACCTCTTGGCCAGGTCACCCTTGTCAAAGAGATCCTGATCTCAATGGGTTTCTTTATCTGGTTAAATAAAGGTTAATAATAAAAAATAATGATTACATTCAGATTCAACTTTTAAATGCACACATATCATGTAATATAAATTACATTAGAAATTGATCTGTTGTAATGTTAAACAAAAATGCTGCGTTGAAGAGAGATGTTATTAGATGATATGTTTTAAATCAGTCAGCAAAGGCCTGTTTACATTAACTCCATCACATTGTTTTACAGGACTTCATGTTCAGCTGTAAACAGACCGGTCGGTTAACTTGTGGTTGGTGGGCGCTCTGACCTGACTTAGCATGTAGCATTACAGCTACAGCACAACATTATAATTAGTACGGTGGTGGAAAACATGTTGTTGCACTCTGTGAATCTGGTCAATAAACTTAGTAAATATGTTAACCTTGATAATTGTCAACAGTTGTACAGACTTTGTTTTGTTTGTTGTGGTTTTGAAAGGTAGAGACTCCGCGGGTTTTGTGTTAGCAGTAGCTGCACGTTGTCCCGAGTTTAGCTTCACGAACACAAATTAAAATTACAAAATATAAACTCTACGGTTGTAAAACAGATCTGTTTAGGCCAGCCGACGGATTTCTGCATCCGTACATTACAAAATGTGACAGAATTACAAACTCACCTTTAAAGAGGAGCAGCGGACTGAAGCAACAAGCTGCTGGTAACACTGAGTTCACTGAGTCTCTGCAGAGTCACAGTAAAGGTCAGAGTCAGGTTTACTGCACTTTTTATACTTTAATGACAAAACTTTTGTCATTATTAGATCAGCTATTTACTACGCCTGAGTTAACGTCATTGACCCATTTCTCCCTAAATAACAATATTAACTACCCCCTATTCAAAAAACATCAAACTGGTCTGACTAAACAGAATGATGATCAAATTTATTCTTTAAAGTGAAGAAAGACTTAAATAGGCCTATTTTTATATATATTTTTTTCTTTCTTTCTTTCAGGGGACATTTTTTTTGTCCTTTGTTAACAATAAAATGGGCTTAGTAGGTAGGCTATAAATAGTCTATGTTTGTTTCTTTGTTATTTTTATTATTTTTACCATTCGCTTAATTAGAGGATTAATAGCCTAGAAGTTATTAACAATATAAATACGTTTGGTAATTTAAATTCCTATTGTTTTTTGAGGATTTCTTGTGATTCATATTCATTTTAAGCCTTTCCAGAACATGTAGCAATATGAAGCAATGTTCTCTGCATTATCAGAGTGAAAGAAAACAAACAAATGTGTCAACTCTGATCATTATCATCTTTTCCATTATCCAAAGTAGTTTGCATAATGACCATGGCCTAGTGTCAGCATACCAAGATATTATTACAGCATTGCCTATCACATATAATGAGCAGCCAAAGAAAGCACGTACTGCTTTCTTAGTTGTCTGCAGATGTGTGAGTATAAAAAAATAACGTAGCTCGAAAAACAAAACAATGATAGATGACTGTTTGGATCTTTGTCATTAAAGTTTGCAATTATGTACATTTTTGGCATCAATCATGGAAAAGCCTTTACATAAGATATTATTGCTGACTTAGCACACCGGAATAGATTTTTTATGACTTTGCCTTACTGTCAATTTGATGCAAATGTATTTAATAATGTTCCCCATACTTCATAAAACAAAATGTCACTGAAGGTGGATGCCTCTTGTAGGCAACAGCTTTATTAGAAAAACCCACACTCACTGTAAACAGGAACAGTGCACATTGAAGTGACAGTGCAATAGGTGTTAATAGAGATTAGGGGTCAACACGTATGCTGCCAATATGTTTCTGTTATGCTGACCTCCATGTTCATCAACTTTCATGAGTGATGATGGCAACAATGTATCCACTTCGTCGGATGGATCAAGTTGTCGCCGTTGAATTTGGTTGTAAGATTTTTAATGTGTTGCAAAATAGAGGACAAGAATCTAAGAATTGGTAATATTTAAACAAACTCACAAAACACAAAAGCTTAAACAAACAAAAAAGAGGATATAAAACAAATTAGCTAACAATACACAAAACAACTAAAAGGAATTAACACTAGTGCTATAGGTCACATGAGCTCAATCACAAGCTGCACTCAGGGTGAAAGCAGCACTTGGAAGAGTCATACATTTTTTTGACAGTGTCAGACACTAAGCTTCAGCAAGCACTTATCTTTGAGTTTCAGTAAGCAACGCAAGCTGACGTGTTCAAAAAGATGTATGAAAACAAACTTCAATATGACCCTATAGAAACTGACAAATCTTAGAGCCAGAACACATACTCTGTCTTCTACAGGTGTACAGTTCCCCCCAGTGGTGAGAGAGGACCCTTCACTTTATGTGACTCATTGTATTGTTGACATGTTCTGGAAAACTCTCTTCAATGGTGGATCTTGCGATCTATTCAGTTGGGTTTAACCTTAAATCAGACAGACATTGATCATCTAACGCTCTTTTAATTGTAATCTCCAAAATGACAAAAACACAACACAAACTAATTGTTCCTCTTTTAACAATGAATGTCTACTGATGCAGTAGACATTAGACATTATATGAAGTGATGCAGTATTCCTAAATGTGGCTCCGCTTTAGCACAATCTGTTTTTTTCTTTTAAAGCCATTAAAGAATGGAATAGTCTTCCAACTAGTCTTAAACTTTGCACATACTTCTGCACTTTGACCCGCAAAGTCAAAAAATGGATTTTAAGTAATCAGTCTTGTCAGCATTAATTTGTCACCTCAGGGAAACTTGTACATAATGTTTTAATATCTGTAAATTGTTCTATGTCTTTCTTCTCTCTTATGTAATGTGTGTGTGTGTGTGCGTGACTGGTTGATTTGTATTTTGCTGTTACCGTCATCTGCCCAGGGACTACAGATGGAAATTAGCTAGTTAGCTAAATCTGGTACAAAGAATCTCTTCTCTTCTGAGATTCATGTTTTTTTTTGTACACTGTCCCTGATTCAAATAAACGATAAAAAAAGAAATGCTGACCAAAATACTGTAGTTTCTTGTAAAAAGCACATTTTTAACATGTATATATATGGTATTCTTTATCGGAAACCTTGCTCTTTTTTTCATTCAATAAATATACATAAACCACAGCAAAAAAGAGTCGGGGGGGCTTTGGGATTCATGAAGCATCATGTTTAGCAACAACATGTTACCACTTCGTCCTAGAATTCACTGGCAAGATGGCTTATTATGTAAATATCATTACATCAGCCAAGGGTGTGCCTGTTATGATTCTTAAAACTGGGGAAGACATCAACTCTTAAAAAAAGGGATAGGTCATTTAAATATTGTTTTTAGTAATTTTGCAATGATGTAATGCATTCCAACATGTAATGAGCAAATCATATAAGTAAACTGCTTTTAACTATGAAATGTTGCTCTTTCTGAAAAGGTAAAAATGCTCTCAGATATGAGTATTAACCCTGTCAAAGACAAATGTGGTGCAATTCTTAATACAAACATCACACACAAGCTTTTGGACTTTTATTAAAATTTGTGTAATTAATGATTTAAATTAAATTCATACATAAAAAGATGCCAAAAATAACACTGGGAACCATTCATGGAAAATCTAGTTACCTAGCAAAGTTAATGTTGTAAACAATATTAACAAACTTACAGTGGCAAAGTGCCCAATGAGCACAATCATCCCGTTTGACTTGAGGGGTACTGTATAAAAGCCTGAATAATTTGTCTGCTTTCGTAATAACGCTTACTGCAAATTCATTTCCCTTACATGAAATGTGTGCTTTTAAACGGATGAAGGCTTGGTGCAAAAATAGATTTTGCATTATTAAAAAAATTAAGATTGTCATTTTATTATCATCCACTTTCCCACACAATCACTCTGTGACCAACACATACACATTATTATTAAAGCTTGTGTAGCCAACAAAAGGCTGAATCCTTGAAGCTGATAGATAGTAACATTATTTTGCTAAATACTGGAACTGGTTTATTGGTTGCCTTCACCAGCGAGTTTCCCTCTGATCCAGTAACCTGTCTTCATCTCTGTAAATCAAATATGTGACAGCATCCTTACAGACCTTTACCTTAATGACTCAACTGTTCCATAATAAACTCACATTTCTCATTTGTACATTTATACTGTACATTCACATCAACACGCACCCAAACCATACCGCAAACAAACTACAAACAGGTACAAATTACAAATTGGTAAACTGACAAACAAAGGTAGTAATACACTGACTGTAACAAACATTAAATGACTGCATTTTTCAGGGATAAATTGGTTTGTATTGCTTTGGCCTGTTCTGTTAGCACCCTGCTCGTATTGTCCTTCTCTGGTCATGTAGATGCAGAAGCATCAAACACCCTCTAGTCCGCCCCACTCTGAGGACTTGGCAGCCCGGAATAGGTGGGAAATCCTACTGATGTCACAAGTTTCTGTTTTGTAACTTCAGTTTCCACTCATGTTTTACCACCATTTCTCCTGATTTTTCCCTGATTTTCCTTCTTGGCAGTGGCTTCACATTAAAACCCCAAAGTGTCTTCTTTATGTGCAGCAAAGTCGGCTTCGTCTTGGTCCCATTTGCCTGGGGACAGGCACTCTTCAGTGTTGAAATCCAGAGGGTTTACCCCAATGTCCAGGACCTGGGGGTTAGTGCGAGACTCAGCGAGTCTGTGGAATTAGAGGAAGAGAGATTTCATTTGCAACTGCTATTATGAATCCAGGATGATCATCAAATTGACTCTAACTGTTAATGGCAATTTATTACACTAAAAACAATGTTAGGTAGAGTGATCACAGAATGTTTGGACAAAGATATAACTCATAAACACAGTGACATATGCAAAGAAAATCCAATGTACTGTAACTGGATACAATGATTCCCTTCCTGAATCAATGGCAAGAACAGATGTGAGAACCATAAAAAACACACAAAATACCATTCAAACACACATGAGCTATTGTGTACACCCATTGTGTACACCCACCCTTCTCATTCACCTGTGACACCTCTCATCCAGTGTGGATACGTATGAGTTAGAGACACAAAACATTTGTAATGAAGACATGACAACAACGGCAGACTACATTGGGCTCTGTGGCAGTGAACCTTATGATGCTCTTGGATGGATCAAGATGTGAAAATAAAATTTGAAACTAAATGAGCTTCTCAGTCTGGTTGAACACTGATACTCAGACAGATGGGAGGTTTGAATAATTGGTTTAGAATAGGGACAATGAGGTGGAAGTCACTAGATCCAGTGAATGACATTGTTACCTGAGTAAGATTCAAAGCTATCCAGACTGCGGCTGGGGGTGCAAAGGAAACATCACAAGTCAGGGAACAACTTTACTCGGAACTATTCTGAACAGCCTTTTAATAAAATGAAAATACATTGATGTGGCCCCCTAAGGTACACATTTTGAGCACAAGTTGACCAATACTCCTGCAAAAACATCAGGGTTAACCATACTTAGATAATGGTTCCAATTCTTTCAAGACAGGAAATAGATGCAGAGTGTAAACTGGCCTCTTGCACTCACTTTTAACAAGAAGCATTTTGAGGCTTTTACATCTCGTTCAAGTGATTAGCAAACCATCACCAGCAGATGGCAGCACAGTCTCTCAAAATGCAAGACCAGTGATTTAACATGCATTTATCCATGGCAAACAGCCCAGTTCTTGGTAAAAAAATAGAAAGTGATTTAAATACATACATATATGAATATTTATTAGATAGAAGAGGCCAACCAATTTGTATCTCACAAGCAAACATTTAGTGTTGCTATAAGAGTGTTCTTTTTTCCTGACCACAACTGTTACATGATCTCTAGCCTCTAACCTCCTATGTTGGGAGGTAAAAGAGGCCATGATGCTTGTGATATTTACTCACAGAGCACCTTGATCAAATGTATAATCTATGTATGTCTAATCTAGAAGGCACAGTAAATATGCCACATTCTTTTTATTTGCAGGATAAACATCCTCACTCACTCATGTATGAGCCAAACACGATATTTCAAGTATAGTGAAGACAATACAAACCCCATTATTCTCTAATATTCTCATACGCAGAACCACCAACTGTCTTGAATTGTCTCTTCTTTTTTTTTTTTTTTGTAACTTGACCAGTATAATCCGCTCATAGTGAAAAAATACATCAGCCTAGCCCTCGGGTCCATGAATTTAAATTATTGATATATACATGCAGATGCATCTCTGCTGGGAGCATCTTCACCAAGATGTAGGGGGGGGATTATCTGAGTTTGGGTGTAATTACAGTGAGTGCAGACTAATAATCACCTGATCAAAAGGCTGAAAATGCCATCTCAGATTTTAATTACAGGGACAATGCAGCCCATTCTCCCAACCCATAAATGACAGTGAGAGAATAACAAGCTTGAATTAGCAAAGGGTATAAAAAGCTGAGTCAAAGTAAATAAATACATTCAAAATGTTGATTGAGTCTACCATGGTCAAAAATAAACAGCTATAAATGGTAGCACTGTGAAACCTTACAGCAGTCTCAGCATAACATATCTGCTGCATACTAAATTTAAACATTTATCCCAGATGACCCCGGCTCCATTCTGATAAGTTTGACAGTTAAATGATTTCCATTCAGCACAGTAATAGACCTTCCTTTCAACCTGGACCCTGAATATTAGTGGACTGTGTGCTTTTTCTTCCTTGAGCTTTTCTTCCTATATTTTTCCCTAACTCTTTTGTGGTCTTGTTGTAGTATTATTATGTATCGAAAAAATATGACATCTCTCCATTAATGTATACCAATAAGATCCTAATTGTGCGTCTGTGTGTTTGTGCTGTTGTGTGTAGCATGCCTGAACAGACATTTCTTATTTCCCCTTGGTGATGAATAAAGTTTCTGTTCTTTATTTTCAACTGGGTCTGTCATTTAAATATGAAGCACCCATTGGTAAACACATGATATCTGAATTCATAAGAAAACAGTTAGTGGTCCTGAGAAGGGTTTACACCGAGCCTATAAAAACAGCACGACTCAGGATGGGTGTTGGCTGTGTTGGCCTGTAAACTGAGCCCTGAGCTCTTGCTGTCGGGAGTACACCAGAACAAGAGAGAACGCAGAGCATATTAGGAGAGCAGCAGAGACCACAGCTGGTTATTTCCAGAACAAAGGGTTAAACATTTTTAGCAGAGCCTGAGCTTTGAGGAGAACCCAAATCAACCCCAGTTATCACCTTGAGAAAGCTTCGTCCAGGCCGTCCTCCAACTCCTGCCACACAGAACATAAACATAAAGGTTAGAGATCAGGTTTAGATCAGTGTACTTAATCATGAGACTCATACACATGACCAACTCTTGCTACTTTTCTTATGCTTCCATTGGTCTTTCAAGGGTAATCTAGGCTACATGCAGTCCCACACTCTCTTGCGCTTTGTGACCATTGATTAGGCCAGTTCTGTTCAATGGGCTATTGTCTACCTGTGTTGCAAGTGTAAAACTGCAGATTCCACTCTGGTGACAACAGTATACTGCTTCAACAGGCACTTTGGCTAATTAATCATTGTTCCTACTGACATTATCTCTTCCCAGTTTATACCTACTAACCAGTCTGACTCTTGTCTTACCCATACAGTATTGTTGTTCTCTGTTGAGTGATTATGCACCATAAAAGGATCTGATTCACTCTGTTGTGTTCCTGAGTTAGACAGTGCGACATTGGCTCCCTCTGCCAAATCCAGAAGTGTTCCCGTGGCTACCTCTGTAATACAAAACAAGAATATGCTTTTTAGTACATATAATGCATTCCAATTCCATACAACCTTCCCTCTAGATCCTTCACCTCTATATGTGCTTCCTAACCCACAGTAATCAGTGTGGTAATGACGATACATTTGCTTGTCACTTTAAATTAATAAGCCTCTAATGTATCTTACCACTTCAGACATCTTTGGATTGTCAATTGGTGATAAGGGAGCATTAAATATCCCTCTGACTCACATAGCATACATTAGTGACACCACTACCAATCGTAATGGGATTAGCTCATAATGCCTGATGATTAATGTGCATCAATGTGTGTCAACACTGATTTCTGTCTAGTCTTTTAGCAAATATGTGCACAGGCTGAAAATTTTGATCAATAATCAGTTGAGCAAAATAAAAACGATCGACTATTTCATAACCAATTATTTGTTGCATTAATATTCAAGTAGAAACTTCGACTATTTTTAGGTTAAAGCATATGAAATGTAATGAATCTAGAAAATTGTGAGGACCAGTTTCTCTATTTATTTGACCTTAGGAGTATTGAAAAATTGGCTGTAAATATCAAGAAATGACTATAATCTTTAGCAGCAGCGCCACATAACACCCTGTGAATAGGAGAAGACTGATCAGTCCCAGGAAGGGAAATTCCACAAACAACCAGACAGTCACACAGGAGGACATTGCAACTACATTTTTCAGCCACTGTAAGGGGTCTGGCGCCGGAAAAGAGTTGAAGGTATCATGTCTCATGAATAGAGCTGACTCCTCTGACTACACCACTGATACCAAGAGTCCTTCTGACTCAGCATTCAATTTGATCTGCAAGAGTGAAGGGTACATAAATGGAAGCACCTGACAGCATCAAAGCATTGCTGCCCCCATATCACTGCTTTAGGGCTGGGTTCAAAACATGTGGTCGCGGAGAAAAGCTCAGCCTGTTTCAAGAGGCACAAGGTGTTAGACTGCTTTTTAATAATGGCAAACTGCTTTACAGGAACACATTCCATTGACAGTCAAACAAACCACATTGTCAGTGGGATAATGTTTAAGAGCCTCTCTTTTTACAGAATCCATTTTCAAGTCCTACTTTGTTACATCTTCTCAGTAAGGATTATCCTTAAAACCTGTGTCGACAGTAAAACACGACACATTCAGAGCTAAAGCCAAAATAAAGTGTCAGAACAGATTTAGAGAGATCCCTGTCTGGCTTGAGGCCACATAGCTGGTCAAAGCAGGACTCTCAGTATAAAGCTCATGTTTTCAGATGTATGTCAGCGAAAAATGACGACCCGTGTCCCAAACAGATCCCAGTATTTAGTGTCATGAGGTTTTAGGAGTACATAATGTGAAAAGAAAAGAGGCATGCACAAGACATGCTGTGAGGAATAAGTGTATTACCATTGAGCTACTGGCAACAGAACCTCAACTCAGTGCACCGTTCATGAAACAAATAATGTCTTAAGGTTGTCTTGCCCAATTCATATCTAGAACATGTTAAGAATGCCTGACACAGCTTTCAAGTCCTGGAATCTTAGTAAATCTGATCGCACAACGGGATCACAGAAAAATTAGGCAGCTTTTATGATTTTTACACAAACAGGGCTGTAATTGTGCTTCATGACACAAACAAGATTGGACTTTGTCCATGATATGATAAGCTCTCTTTCATTGTAAAATGTAATGGGGACAGTTAAATAAAAAAACCTAATAATGTTATTTTCTGTTAATTGTAATGATAGAGCATGGGAATTGTTGTCAGCTGGTCTTCAGCCTCTATATGAGCAAACATTTGACAAGCAGCTAAGTGCTCATTAGTCCTCTAAACGGGCAGTGATTACTTGGTTTCAGAGGAAATGAGGGATGGGATGGGGTGGGTGGTGACATGACTTACCGCTTCCCTTTAGGCTTCCCAGGCTGGTAGAACTGTCTGACTGAGAGTTGCCAGTACCTTCTCCCTCTGAGCTGGACTTCACCCGCTTCTCTTTGTCTACATCGTGAATGACACAAGAAAGCAAAAGGCAAAAAAAAGAGGCAAAAGCAGGGCAGTTAGAAAAGAGAAGCTCACTATGATAGTGGTGACTACTGGGTCAATGCCCTTGCAGTGCAAATCTATATGAAGTGTTTACTTTTCTAACTACAGAGAAAGTGGGTACAAAATGTTTCACTAACCACACATCTGATTTTTGTTTAGCAATATGTTATATAAGTTGAAGTTATTACTCAAGCTATCTGCCAGCTGAGACATTAAAGACAACTGACAAAGGCTTTGTGCATTAAGAAGACAATCAACAGAGCTACTTTAAACACAGCATAGACTAGAGAGGGTCAAGAGCACATAGGTTTCTAGCATTTCAGAATCACTCCTAGTGATTGCACGGAAAGAAGCCCAAGGACACTTCTACACTGACTTGGAGCAAAGAATAGGAGCGAGAGAGACTATTTCGCATTACACAAAGCAACAAAGCAGTAATAATGTAGAAATGAACTACAAGTGATGTAATGTAATTACAGTTGTAGGAATTTCAGACAAATCAAAGTGCAGAAAAGACCACAAAATATAAATATTTGTATAACAGTATATAATCTACCAGCTAAGATTATTCATGTAAAACATGATACAGAAACAACAATTTGGTGTGCAACCAAATTCATGGCTTCAAGCCTATGGAGGCTTCAACAGGAGGTGCATTTCCCAGCTTACAATAAAGTATAACACTGTAAAGACACACTGTAGCTCAAGCTGACAATACTGTTACAGGAGAATGAATGCCAATCTCTTTTTATCCACATTAGTTGTTTTTATTTCATCATCATCCTTGTTTTTAAAAGAGACACCTGCCATTTCCCATGAGTCCGTGTAGCTTAGTGATAGCTGTGTTAGAAGGATTTCCCAATGCACCAGATGTCCCCAATTGCCTTTCCAGCGTGCTGTTCACAATCTTACTCAAGTATTAAACTCCTTCTAAGCATGAAGGAAACTTACTGATATGCCATTTCAAAGTCAGCTGTAATGTTTACAGTGCATAATCTATGAACACTGATCTGAGCTGCAATATACAGAGGAATGTAGGTCAGGAATGTGGGGGGGGGGGGACTGGAGAACCACTGTGGGTGGTGGAGAAGAGTTTGGAAGAAACAGTAAACTAGATAGACTTAGAGTTTATGCCCCTCTTCCTGCCCCGGTCCTCCTGGGCATGTTTTAACTTTAATGAAAGGATTTTCTTTGGCAAGAGAAAACCACCACTTCTTTAGGAAAAATATGTTTTTCTCTCCCCCTTGGTGACCCCCTATCACCTAGAGATCACTTTTCTTTCATCAGTGACATTTTACTAACCCAAAGGAAAACAGTTCTACAAATTAAAAAGACTACTGTGCCCCTCTAGAAAATGAAGTTGAGCAGAGGTGAAGAGTAAAAGCGAGGAAAGAGCCAAGTGTTGCAGTGTTTAATATTCAATTCAAAAACACAAACATCCAAATGAAGAGGCATAAGCCAAGGAGCCTTTGGCGTTGATCTTGGGGAAAACAAACAAGCCCCAAATTGGAAATGTGACAACATTAAAAAGCATTCCTTAACACCACATTAAAACTAAAAATATGTTGGAGTCTGTGGTAAATAAAACGGGCTGACAGAATTTTCATGCAGTGCAAATGTGTCTCTAAAGGACTGAATAAATAAGCTCGCCTTCACGAAAGACAGGATCGATGGCACTGACACTGAATCCGTCAGAGGGTTGAGCTCCAACTGACACGTGCGCAATAATTTTCCTTTTTCTTTACACGCTCCCCATCTCAACATCCCTCTCTACCCTGCCTTTCATGCTCTGTTGCCCCCTATCCTTATCCCCACCCCCTTCCTTTTCTCTCTCTGCTTCCCAGCCTGTCTCCCTCTTTATATTAAACAGACGTGTGATTTGGGTTAGGGATTTAGGAGAAGGAAAAAAAAATGAACTAGACAGGGGGCAGATGGGGAGCAAGGTGCCAGGTGCAAAACAAAACAAACAGCAACAATGGATAATCACAGAATTCAAAGAATGCTTACAACGCAAAACACATGGAAAGATGAAAGAAGGGTGGGAGGGGCTGATTTAGATGAGACCAATATTATGAGACAAGAATTTCTCAATTAGAATTGAGTCATACATGCAGTAAATTACACGCATATTCTGCTGAGCTGTACAAAAGAATGTGTGGGACTATCCTTGCACAGCACGCAGACTGGGTGCTGCTTATCCACAGCGGTGCCTGAACATGCCCCATCTGCTTCTCTTCTCAGTGTAGCCTCATATTAAAACTTTTTTAAAAGGTCAGTTGCCTTATACTTTCGACATGAATCAGAAAAATATAAATGTCTAGTGAGGAATAATAAAATAATGATTTTTGCAGTAAAGATAAAAATATCAAGGGGAAATCCGAAGCTGCTAAACATTTGGGTCCGATGTTATGTTGGACATAACATGCAATGTTTAACAAACAGAGGCAGCATGGTGGGTTGTTGGAACGTGCTGGCTATGTACAACATCAGAGCAGGCGAGGCAGAACAGCGCTGTTTGTGTGAAGCTCCTGCTGGGCCTTTACATGCCATGCCTCTAGCAATTCCGCAACATCTTAATGCAATGATGATCCACACAGATAACTATAATGCACCGTTGCAGGTGCAATCTGTAAGTAAAAAGACAAAATGATGGCGGAACATCATTATGGCTCTGTTGTGGGACCGCAATCTATTGAAGGCTCTACTCAAATAGGAACTAGAGAACCCACCTCTGTCCCATTCTCAGCCAAATTAGTACCCATACCTAAATGTGTCTCTAACCATGACTGAGTTGACTAAACTAAAAAGACTAGAGCCAGTTTCACATATGCACTCCTGAACATTTTCTTAACATTTCAGGCAGACTACCCCTGAAATCTTCTTGAGTTGGTTGCTCATGGATGCACCTCACAATGTGAGGCTATCTCTGTTTGTTGGGAAGGGGAATCCAGGTAAGCAGTACACGACTAAATTGGATCTGTTTGTGTGCGCCATGCCCTGGGATAAGGAAACCGCTTCCCCCTAGGTTAATGTTCAATCAATATGGGCTAAAGTTGGGGGAAGCTGACAAAACTGGTGTCAGATTATACATCAATTTTACATGGCGAGCAGTGAGGAGAGTGAGCAGTATGAAAAAGCTCCTTTCAAATCAGTGCTGTGGGGACATTTCAGTTTCGGCGTTGAATAAAATGACAAGGAAGAGAAAAAACGGTATATAAAAAAATGACTGTCTGCAAACATTGTTTGACGTGTCCTCAAATGAAATCACTCAGAGTTAGGCCAAGTTTACAGCAACAGACTACAGCAAGTTGTAGTCTGCAAGCTACCAATTTCTGTCACATGCAACCACTACCTGACACCTGCATGAGAGCAGATAGCTTTTATTATTAACCCCTTTCTGTTCCTGTAATCATAGCCTTAAACTCCAAAGAATGGAATACCAAAACACAACACAGTCCTGGCCGTCAGAACAGAACTAAACCAAAAACAAAAAAACCGAGCTCCATGTTGTGTCCATGCTGTGTGGACAGTACATGAGAGACATTGTATGCCCTCTAAGAGAGAAGATAAAGGATGTATACAGAAAATAGAGACAAAAACAACACGGGAAAAAGATGGAAGTTACATTTTCATGCATTTGTCACACTTATAGTGTTGTCAGGGGTGACCATGTGTACCTTCCTTAGCAGCCTGCCAGAATTCAAATGCCACTCTGAAAGCCTGAGCCACTGTCAGGGTTACTGCCTGGGCCTGTTGTGAAACAAAGAGAAGGACAATATTAAAACAGGGAGACAACATTAAAGAATAGAAGGAAGGTGAATATCACTCATAAGAATCTCATCCAATGAAGGAAACTCCAGGAAATCAAGGCACTATGACCACGATAAAGACAGGAAATGACCACCAACACAAGAGTTAATTCCTAGAAACGTGTACAGGAGGAAGAGAAAAAGAAATCTCAATGACATGTTGTTTATGTAACTTGGAGGATACGTGGCCTTTTGGCCACAACTAAATTAGTGAGGGGAAGGAAGAGGGAGTGGCTCACTAGTTCTTCAAACCTCCAGGGATCAAGAGAATGTAAGAGAGGGATGACAGCCTCCCCACCCTTTATGTTCTCACTCCTCGTCTTTCTCCTGACTAAATACTTAGATATATGCATACTGCAAGTAAAGCGAGACTCAAAGTGGTTGGTGCAGTATTTCTCAGGTCTCTTTTCAACAGACAGTATCAGCATAAAAGGACCTTCTACAGATTGCCGGGAGCAAAAGCTAAATCAATGACACGAATGTAGAATTCTACACCAATAAGAGTCTGTATTCTGCATGAAGAACTAAAGCATGTGCATTGCATTTATTCATGTTTCCAATTGTATTAAAAGTAATGCAAGATTTAGGGAAATTCACTTAAATAGAGGTATCTTGTGTGGTTATTCTATACAAAAATAAACATGTAAAAACAACAACTTGTGAATCATTTGAATGAATGAATGGATGATGATGATCATAAACACGAGCATTAATATTTCCTGGCCCAACCAGCCAACAAGCAGATACTCCTGGCAGTCACTGCTCCGAGCCAAGGACAGTCAAACACAACTTTGCACAAATTAAAAAAGAAGACTCAATTTTTTTAAACAAAATAATAATAACAAATAATAATAGTAATAATAACAAAATAACCAAAAAGCAGAAATGTGTCACCTTTGGACACAGATAGGTTACCTCTTCCCCCTTGTTGCTGATCCTAAGGCTGCTAACTACTAATTTGCTCATTGCTGCCGCTTGCGTACTTGCAGTAGCAGACAGAGTTAAGAGTGTTTAGATCTCTTAACAAGAACGTGCAGTGAACTTTATGTCTAATATTAGGATTAAGCTGGCATCAAATTTGTTGTGTCTACTTACAGGTTGGACTAATTAGGGGGAAAAGCCTATCTGTTCACACAGTGGGTGTCTGAGAGACATATTGCACAATTCATTATCTTACCATTTTTCTCTTCGTACAGAGGAAGGCATGGCACTCCAGGGTCTCATTGTGTTGGCTTTGGACAATGTAGGCAAACACTTTGTCATGCATCTTGTCCGCTGTACAATATGATATTCTAAAAAAAAAAAAAAAACACACACACACAGACGCAGGGACTTTAATAAAAACTCTCTGATATATAGAGCCTTCACAGATCAAGTGGGGCCATCATGCAACTTCATCTGCACTAAGCCCTTAAGCTAGTCCTGCAATCTGATTTAAATTGTTCAATCTAGGATTTCTCCCAGCTGTTCCAGAAAAAAAATCCCTGGTATTCTTAATACCCACTACATTTTAGTCATCACTCTGCAAGAGATCAAAAACACACCCCTGCTGCATGCAGGTACCATGATGAATGAATGCTTTGAAAGTCATGTGTGCATTGGACTTCGGTGCTTTGTTGTCAAAGGGATTGTGTGCCTCTTTGCTATTCAAATAACACCACACTTTCACTGGGCCCCTGTTTAAAAACCTTGGCATGCACTGTTGTAAGTAGCTTTAAGATAGGGCCTGCCCCCTGTGAGGTACATTTTTACAACTGATGCAGACAAAGGTGCATTGTTCAGTCCTGTTGTGGTGAACTTGGTCATCTACTGCATTGAGATGTCTTCTTAGTCTCATCTTGTGTAGTGTATCATTGTGAACGAGGTCACATCTGGGACACCTCACAACCTCCCAACAGAAGGTCTAAGCACGTTTGATTTTTCTTTCTGCCTTCTACGATGTGTTCTGTCACAGCTGTAATGTTGACCAATAAGAGCACGTTGGTGCTACGAGATGGAACCATTAGACAGAGGAAAAGTTGCGAGCTCTGGCAACAATCTTTTTATTGATTTAATTTTTTTATGTGTACAGTCTTCTTTCCGGTTGTTATCTAGACCAGACCCTCTTGGTCCTAAAGTCATCATGTCCTTTGTGAAGATTGGTCTGGTACCACCTTAGTTTGTCAGTATGTTGTCAAGGCATGAATTTATGGCTCTGTGATTGTCTGATCTGACCCTGTGACAATCTTAAATGACAAAAAGATTATGTCATTAGTCACACTTGGTTAACTAATGACTGGGCGATGTGCCACAACAAATTAATAAAAGCAACGGATGAGAAGATTTGAGGGGCTTCAGAATCATAGCTGAGGTCTCCCTATTAAAGCCGAGATTCACAGGTAAATGATTTTTGGAGTGAGGGCGCTTGGGAAATTGGATATGCAGGCCAATACATTAAATTTATTGGTAATCTATCTTCTTAGCAAATGTCTAGGGAGGGAGAAGTCATAGCCCATAGAAACAACTTATCCATTCAATTGTATAAAGCTTAACACATTTTTTTTTTACTTTGCTCCTCTTAACTGAACTGTAGAGAGCAGATTTCTTCAGGTGAATGAATGCTGCATACTTTAATATCATCCTTATGATTTAAAGGGAGCAGTTATTTATTGACAAGCATTGCGAAATTGAGCTGGAGAGAAGAACGAAACGGTTCTCTAAAAAAATTAAGAACTTCCCAAGGTAAACTGACAACTCAACATGTTTTGTCCTGTCTTGTCGTTTGTATGTAAAAGGGGGCCTGACTCACTCACAGTAAACCAGTAAAGTTACCTTACAGCCAAAACACCTTGTTAGTCAAAATGTTCCGGGGTATTTAAAAAAAAAAAAGATTCTTAACAGTTAAGATTTTGAACCAAACCTGCCAACTTTTAGTAAAAATGATTCAACATGCATATTCATGCTTGGAAAAATGATGGGGGAATGTAGACTCTTATTGAAGTTATTCAAACTTGGCTCATAAGCTCAAGGCCAATGAATGGAAGGCAGCTTTAAGAAGGCTATAGCAGACAGGTGAGATCACTCGGCATTTACCAGACAGAAAGGGTGTGTGTTTGTGTGATGCTCAGAAATGCAGTTGTTGTAGGTTTCCCAAGAGAGTTAAAGAATGAAAGGACATACTCTGATAGACTGTGTGCTACATAAGGGAGAAAGTACTTTAACACAAAAACACACAGAGGAACACTTCAGACTGTCTTGCCATACCACAGCATCTTACAATCACATCCATTCAGTGATAGATGTGAAAATAACGTTTGTTTTACTGCAGGTGATCAGGACAAGCTAGGGGTGAGAGTATTTCATAACTCGAGCCATGTGCGGCAGTCAGCGAAACAGAATATGTTGGAATTATAAACAGTCCAAAGAGGGGTAGTTACCTGTAAATGGAGATATTTTCTATCAGCTGGTTGGAGGCACTGTCATAAAGAATGATTCCCCGTGGAGAAACTGTTAGTGTGACTTTTTGGAGTTTTTTCCCACTTGCTTTTGCCTGGAAGAAATGTTACAGCGTGAAAGAGGCTATATCAATAAGACAGAGAACAGGAAAAAAATTAATAAATATTTATAAGCGTCAACTTTGCACAACCAATTGGACTGCTCAATTAAAAAATATCCATCAATCTGCAGTCAATTATATATAACACCAAACAGAGAACAGGGTTTATTAGAATATAGATAAACATCAAAATGACATAATTATTCAGACTTCTGCTATTAAACTAGAAATATCTCAAACCTCTACCGTTTCAACCCTTAAAATACATGTCATCTGAAAAGGCACATACTTGTCTTTATAAGAAAATGCCTCAAAACTTACATGAGACCTAATAGCAGCATGTTTAAGGGAAAAAACAAGATTCCTGATCTGATGGAACCCAGATCAAACTGAGTATTACCTCAATTCTAAGACTCGTATCTGGAGGAGACTAGGTACTGCACAACCCCTGCATAACAGTTACATGCTTCAAAGTGTGAGATTGTTTTTTCAGCAAATAGGTCTTGGGTTATGGTCTGGAATATTAGGAAATATTATACTGAAAAATCTACTTATTACATTCTGGTCAGACTTTGACCTAACAGAGCTTATGAGGATTGGCAGGCTTACTGGACCCTCAATCAAGCGCTGCAAAGTTTTTCACGTCATTCCCCAAAAGACTTGTGGCTGTAATTACTGCTCAAGTTCTTCAACTAATACATTTCTTAATAGTATGAAATATTATTTCAATAGGACAAATCTGTTTAAATTTTCAATAAAATTGGCTAGACTTTGTAAAATCCTGTTTTTCTCATTTTTAGGTATTAAATGTGCACTATGGAGTTTTGGTACAGAAATTGGAAAGTTGGAGAAGTGTACAGATTCTGTGATATATGTTCATAACTCTATACACAAACTGTCCTCAGAGGAAAATTTGGTCCCTGTAACACTGATAAAAAGCTAGGCCAGAAGTTGTGGTGGTGGGCCCGCAACAGTTAAACCGTAACTCTCCTGGTAGCTTTCAAACTCTGAACAGGGACCCATTTTTTCCTTTGAGTAAAGTTTGTGTATTCAGTTCAGAAAATACAGCATAGATTTGTTTCCGTATCGTATTTTTTTTTTTTTTTTTTTATGAAAACACCAATGCACCTCGTAATCGCTTTGGTTCTTGCACTAGTTTGGGCTTGTTAGTATGGTTTGGCCTCCACAGCTGCCATGGTAACGCCTGCTTGTTACAGCCAACCGGAATTGAGTTTTGTATATCTGTATGTTGACAAGCTTAAAACCCCAGTCATGTGTTTGTGTGCCTGTCCTGCCTCGAGTGAGTTGTGTGTTGTCTCTTACCGTGGCCACTATCCTCTTTACAGCTGCCGCAGACAGCTCCTCTCCTTTGGGCTGCTCAACCATCGTCACCCCAAGGTACTTGAGCTGGAACACCATGCCCTCCAGAAGGGTCTCCCTGGTGTCTGTCCAGTTCTCTGGAAGCTCTGCAGATGAGACATGCAACACTGAAATGTATGCTCAGCAACAATCCCACTGCTTGTACTGTAAGGCAAGCTAAGAGATGCTAGGTCAGACATGTCAGTAGAACACAACATTCTGTGATTTACTTTGGGAAGTTAAACTCAGCTGCTTTAGGTACGACAGCAGCTGAACTCTTAGTTTGACTTTCTATCCAGGTAGGAAGAAATGAGTTATCTTCTTACTATTAAGTTTAATGCAGACTTAGGGTTCCTAAGAACCTCCTCCATTGTGTCTGGCCAAATGAGTAAGAGTTACCTTACAAGGCAGCTAAAGTGTCACACAAAAACGCAGAATCAGAATACAAACTTATAACTGCAGAAGTTAGAAAACTATAAACTAGTTCTCCACCGGCAGACACGTTTCTTCCATCATAAAGTAAATACCATCTTGTCCCCTCTGGGAGGCAAATTACGATTTGTTTCATCTAAATTCTCAAAAGTCTTCGAGGTCTTATGGGACATGGAAACATCATTACATGCATCTACTTAACTGTTAGAGTCTTCAATAAAGGTGGCTGGTTGCAGGATGTGTTGAGCTCTAGCTCCTGGTCAATATATAGTTCCGGGATTAGGTTTGCTAAGCTTAAGACACACTGACACTATTCAGGACTAAATTTAGCATTTTTCTCTATAAAAGAAATGCTGGGTGAGCTACAAAAAGAAATCATTCTCTTTATATTACAAAAAAAAAAAAAAGAAAATAGCTGAGATGGTGTCTGGGGGAAAGGGAACCTTTCAAATCTTACAGTAAATCAGGTTGAAAGTTCACTCTTCTAAGCTTCCGTTTTTTTCTGTCTCTTAGCTTTAGCCATTGTATCAAACTGCGACGTGGTAACTGGATTGGGCTGATGTGTGGACTAGTGCTAGAAAGTCATATGCACTTCCAAAGTTACATAGTGCTGAAAGGAGGCAACTGGGTCGCTCTGTTGAAAATGGCATGGAACACATTCTCAGAAAAATTAGGTAGTTATATGGTTAACACAACATTTCGGTCACCCAAAAATTATCACCTGAAGAAGACTTTTGTGGCATTTGAGCAATTGTGCAAGCCTATTTTCTTCTTATAGAACCCATTCTTGCCATTTGAAGTTATTGTACTATAGACTGACTTTGAAACTACTATATTTGTCTTCCCAGCAAAACCAAGCCATCAGTAAGGGTTTATTTGGAATGGTTTATAGTCTGTATTCAGCTCTGAACAAACCCATACTTAAGTAATGGGTGGGTCTGACAGTGAACACCCACTATAAAGGTCAAGGTCCTTGAGCTCCTAAGTATGGGGAACAGATCAGGCTGTCCTCTTTTACAGATCCTGTTCTTACATTAGCGTCTGGATAAGTAGCCGCTTGACTATCATCATTAGCTGCAATCTATGAATTCAATCATATCACAGAGTGAATAATAATGAGGGGAAGCCAATGAGTACATTAGCCAACCTTATAAATCAGGGACAATACAGCTAGCATTGAATTATGAACATTTAGTGTTGTTGGTTTGAAAATAACTAGTTTACATTTTATTGTGGCTTTGACGTTTACAAAAGGCAATAACGTTGACATGCATATTGAAGCGCATTTCAAAAAGTTGACAGAATGTTCTTTGATTATGTTTAAGTTATTTGTAGCTCAGGAAAGATATCATTCATATACCCCCCTATCCCAGGAGATCCTGATGTAACTCTAAGAACTATGCAGATAAAAGGAAATATGTCTTGTCGGTCAAAACAATACAACTTCAAAATAGAAGTATATTAAGATTCTGAAAAAAAATGAACCAAAATAAAACGCTATATCCTCAGTTGACCGGTTAAACTGAGCAGTGAAAAAAACCTGCTTTTCAGAAAACTGTTCCTTGGCATTCAGATAAGACACTCATGAACCAGAGCTATTTTTAGAATACACCCAGAGGGTTGCTTTGTATGAAACAATAATCCATTTTCATATTGGTTACATTTGCATTTACACAACCAACCCCCAACCCAGCACTTCCCCAAGTACCAGCCCCCTCTGCAGCCGCTCTGCAGCTGCAATTCTGATTAGAGCCAACTTCAAAGGCTCTGCTGGAGCGCTGGCTGGTCAGTGAGCAATATTTGCATGCGTGACACTACCTGTAAATGAGCCAGGGACTAGGATTGAGGAGGCCGGTAGAGGTTGAAGTTGCAAGCATCAGCGAGGCTAAGACATGGAAGGGTTTGTTCAGTCAGTAATCTCTAAAGAACAATTTGGATACTAAACACTTTAATGTTCTGTCTCCTGCTGTGTAAGAAATACAGATAGGGTTCCTACCCAGACCCTGTAAAAACCTTTTATAGCTATATCCATTTGCCCCACAACTACACACATACAAACCATCACATCATGTCAAATACACTGCTACAGATATGCTCGTGCCAGACATTCCAGAAGAAAGCTCAGTGAACAGAAAGAAAAGAAACATCTGATGGTTGACCCTTTGAATGTTCGGCGGTCACAGCATCAACCTTGATTTACTCTCAAACTAGATTTCTTATAAATAATGAGACGCAATAAAGCCCTCAAACTGAATGGTACAATCTGCTGCGCTTGTTTTTTACGTGGAAAAAAACCCCATAAAGATAACTTTGGAAATACCATAAATCAATTCCCAAGGTTATCAGTGATATTTAAAGGTACCCTGAGGAATTTAAGAATGTGACTGTCATTTTGAAATATACCTTTAATTCAAGATGACAAGCAGATCTGTTGAACATAGTTTTTCAACATATTTAAGTTCTGAAAAGTCTTGATAAACAGAACTTCTGGTGAGATTATTTCTAGTTATGTTGAAGAGTTGTAAGAGCCAGGCTGGGTGAGTAATTGTAGCAAAAATGCTGTTATTACAACAGGGAGGTTCAACCACATCTTTGCAATGCTAGATAAAGCCATGGGTGAGTAACTTTTGGATTTAAAAGGTACTCTGAAGGCGGCATTCATGAACAAACAACTTTGTGAAAGAGTATTTAAAATGATTTATTGTCAACCAAACTATAAAACTGTCTATGTGACGACTTACTAAATCACTGCAGGCATTGCTGGAAAGGAAACATATTCGCTGACACAAATATCTATGATGGCCCATACTACTACTACTACTACTACTCCAAAAATATCAGATAAAAAAACAAAGTTGGCAATCCCTCGTTGAAGCATAGTCAGCCTATAATCCGACAGCCAGGGTGAAGTCCATACTATTAAACATGCTCTCTCACCACACTGCTTCAGACAAGTCTCAACACTACACTGGCAAGGCTGCCAGGAGGAGTCACACTATAAGAAGGAAGGAAGACTAGAAGAACATGCAGCTCCTACCTCGCTCATCAGTTCATCTTGCATTAACATGTACAAGTCGAAATATTTTGAATATCTTATCCGTTTCAAACCTTTCACTGGGTAGAGTGCTAAATAGCAGAACAATTTGAAAGATACACATTACACTTTTTGATGTCTATGTTATCACTGGATAAGAGGCAAATAAAGTAATGAGTTTCTTGACAAAACATGTGTCTGAAGGGAGTTAAGACTGCACATGATTGTAATAATGTGTAACACATTTTAATTTTCCAGAATCTTTTGTGTTTATTACAATTTAAAGGAGAGTAAACTTTACTTGAAAAAAGTCTCTCACAAAAGTATAAAAATGCACCTCCACTATAGGAGGCTACCATGTAACTTAATCCAGTTATCTTCGCTTTGCCATGCTGTCCTTTAAAATGGAAAAGGACAGCAGTATCAACAGTTAGTGCATGTTATATTAGTGTACTATTCATGCAGGTTATCAGAGATGTGGGGTTCGATGAACCCTTGAAGCAGAAATCCAGTCATTCTGTTGTCGGAGTGCCCCAAGTGTCAACCGGTTTAGACTCAAACTACATACACACAATGTCACAAAGGCAGTCTTTTGAGTCTTCATTAGCCTTGAAGCTACAATGCTGTGATATTAGGGTCCTTTTGAAACAACAAGTGATCTGAAGTGGAAGAGAGCACAGAGGCTTTGAGGGTCACAGCAAGTTTGTGGTTTGAGTGCTGATACACAACATCATAGCACATAAGGTAACTTTTAGAGTAATTTTGTAAAACAGGCAATTTAGACAAGTGCATGATATTTAGAGGGAATCACTTTCGCGTCTATCATTTGTAATGAGGAGAGAATACATGCTCTTTAAAAAAAGAATACCACAGTCAGTCAAATGAGAAGGGAAGGGAGAAAATCATTTGTAAATGAGGAACAGGCTGATAATTCAGTGCGCTTACATGGGATAGCTTGATACCCTGGTGTTCCAGCACTTTCAACAAGTGGTTATAGAGCCACTTCCGTTTGACCTATACGTCACAGCAACAACAAACTATCTGGCGGCATTCAAACAAAGATTGCGTACAAGGACATGGACGACGCTACAGCTACATACATTTTGTGCATTATTTACATTCTAATAATGCATATTAGAAGAACAACGGATGTTTTGGCTGCGGCGAGTGCTACTTTCTCAATCTGTGCTAGCAAATTAACACAAATATGGACTTTCAGCTCAAACATCAGGGCCCCACCACCACTCCAAAGCTCCACACGTCAAGCCTGCTGCATCAACATTTTCTCCTTTGTCGAGATTTGAAAGGAGTTTATAAGAACAGAGAGCTCTCTGCATGGTGTCGCATTGGCATCAGTCAATGGAGTGTAGTGAATCTTAGCGTGTTTATCTGAGCTCTCTGAATCCCAAACTATGAATGACTTATTGATTTTTGGTCTTGCTGTAGACACACCAGCCCGCCTGTATACATTCCCTTAAACAAGATGGGGATCGTGTTGTGTCTGAAACACATTATTACCCCAAAAGTTAAACAAGCACTGAAACCTGGCCAATACAAGGTCTAAATTGTGGCTTTGTTCAGAGATGCACATCAACCTGAGATATTGGGAAAGAATGTGTATGGAGCTGGCCTCTCAGAGAC